GTGCAGTATACTCGTACAGTCTTTAGGTACGACTAAAAACTGAAATCGCTGCGTGCAGTAGTAGTGTGTAACTCAGCGATGCACACCTGGACGCCTGCTGCCGCGTTAGTCTGGGTGGAGCCGATGGGTGGTGGTATCCATGGCAGCTGTTACACAGATGGAGCTCGGGTCCCCGGAAAAGCTTGCATACGTGTGTGTAATGTGGAGCATTTTGATAGCCATCAACATCGTCAGTCATAACCTACCTAGGAAGGCACGCTGTGTCAAACACCTACCGATGGATCACACCTATCAGTTCCCTCAAGCAGAAACCTGCAAAGATAACGAAGGGCACACAGCCCAGTCCAAGCAAGCTCACAGCACCGACCCCGTGGTATATGATAAATGCTCTACTAACGGCTCACTGGTACCATCCACTAGCACGGGTATTGCTCCTGGCCTTGCTAGCGTGTTTTGTATAACGTCTTTGAACTGTCACTTTTCCTCGTGTCCATATCCGTTCGTAGTGGTGAGGTCAGCAAGGCAAGCACGCACGGGCCAATACTCATGCACTCCCGGGCAGTGCATCCGCTGCGGCTCAACACAGAATCTGATCACTGGCTAGCAGGCGGAAGCCGGTCACTCCGCCAAAACCCAAACTACCGGGCCGGCCCCCCCTGGTCCTCCGGCTAGCCTCTGAACATGTGGAGAGCTAGATCACGAGTTTCTGCCGTACCAAAGTACGCCTCAACCTGCACCTGGACACATGGCCTCCTAGCGAGCGCACCCCAGCCAGCTGCTGTTGACATCCGGCCAGAACACTAACGGCTGTACGACAGATAAGATGGAATGTTTGGTATAAAGGAGATGATGTTCTGACTGAAAGATCGTTCTGTGATACCTGTAACGGTTAAGGTTGGCTTTACCTACACAGTTCCACTCGCCTATATCATAACAGGTTATGAGCCCCGAGCCGCCGCGTCAAGCGAGCGAGCGTTTTGCTTACGTACTGTGTCCGAACTTGCTGGCTTAGCAATTCGCTGGCTTAGAGATAGGACAAGTATGGGGAAGGATAACGATGTAGAACGCTTAGACAGCTACGCCAATTATTTTCGCTGGCGAACGGCCATGAAATACTGCCTGGCCGGCAAGGACTTGTGGGACGAAGCAGCAGACCTGCCGAGCGCCGTCGCCGAGAAGTCTATGAAGGCGAAATCTCAATTGGTTAAATACACGGTGGCCCGTTTTCATAGGCTGATCGATCAAGCAGCCGATTCTGCCGCAGCGTGGGATGCGATCCGCGCCGAAGGCGTCTCCGAGATCGGAGCAAACATTCTGTTTATAAAACAAAAATTCAGCAACCTGAAGCAACGGAATGGCCAGTCCGTTGTTGATTACTTCGAGGAAGCAGAAGATCTACGCGAGCAGATGGTTGCAGTGGGTTCGAAGATCGACGACTGCCAATGCGCCCTGGCCATCTTGGGCGGTTTGCATAAGAAGTTCCAAATGCAGCAGATGCTTTTTGCTGCCAAGCCGCCGAGCGACCTGAAGCTTTCGGAAATGAAGGCCGCTCTACTCCTGGCGGAGCGGATGCAAGGTGACAACAACGCAGAGTGGGCCCAGGTCGAGGCCCTGGCGTTCAGCAACCGGAGCAGTGGGGTAGGTTACCGTGGCTTCGGTGGCGAC